AGAGCGTTCTAATAGTGTATATGAGAGCGTTCTAATAGTGTATATGAGAGCGTTCTAATAGTGTATATGAGAGGTTTCTAGTAGTGTATATGAGAGCTTTCTAATAGCGTATATGAGAGCTTTCTAATAGTGTATATGAGAGCGTTCTAGTAGTGTATATGAGAGCGTTTTAGTAGTGTATATGAGAGCTTTTTAATAGTGTATATGAAAGCTTTCTAGTAGTGTGTATGAAAGGTAAAGCTTTCCACCAGTTTATATGAACAGTTCTCACTACTTTGTATGAGAGCTTTTGAGTAGATTATATAAGAGATAAATGTTTTCACTAGTTTATGTGAGAGCTTTTACTAGTGTTTGTGTGAGGTTTTCAGTATATTATATGGAAGAGTGTAATTTAATATGTGTATATGCAAGTTAATTCTGATTTATGTCCCTGGGGGCACCTCATAGTTAGGATCCTGGCTTTTAGAATATACTTTGAAAATGTTCAGAAGATAACTAAGAGCAATGAAAAATTAATCACACATGCAAAACTTAATGCCTACAACAGAATAATTATATTAAACAGCTTTAAATTCTGGTTTTATTCATAAAACAAGACATTGTTGTGCTGAGCAACATTTCTGATTTTTGTTCTTTTGTTTTGTTTCTTTCAGGTCCAGGAGAGGAGAAACGCAGGGAAATAATTTATATTGCAAAAATTCTATCATAAATCACAATTCAAAAACATCTTTCTGCACTTTCTTTTATGATAACTTCATATTTTTGAAAGTGAGTTTTTAACACTGTTATACAGACAGAAATACCTTAGTTGTGCAGCTTTAAGTAGCTTTATTAAAATAACAATATAATTTGTTTGTTATTCAAAGATTCTGGGAAGAATTTAGAGGAAATGTTTTTATCATATAACATATTGCTATCATGGTTTTCCATGCAGTTGTTAAATACTCCATTGTTTTCATGTTTAGAGATTTTAACAATTATGTCCACTTTGATGAAGTGGAGATGTTTATTGTTAACAAGTAATAATAATAATAACTGTATTTGTTTGGCTGTGACACCATCCTGGAGAGAAATATCAGCTGTGCTGCTGCCACCAGCACTTCTGTTTATAGATGTTGGTGCTTGGCCTGTTTTTCAGTGTTGTCCTGTTTCTCTGACTGTGACTAACTGTATGTGCTCTCTTCATCCTCTGACATGGGAGCTAGCTCAGAGCTTGTCTGCCTGGCTGTGTTTTTCCTGGACAGGGGTACCTGTAGAGCTGGTTAACAGTTACCTTTTTAATGCATCTTTTTGCATTTCTGCATCTGTCTCCTTGAACCCCAGTCAGCCTCGGCAGATGGCCGCTCCGACAGAGCCTGGTCCTGCTGGAGGTTTCTTCCTGTTAAAAGGGAGTTTTTCCTCCCAACTGTTGTTACAAGCATGCTTGGTGTGAGGGATTGCTGAAAAGTCAATGAGTCAGTGCAATCAGCTGTTTCTAATAAAACAAAACACAGACACAAAAATAAGTAATAAATAAACTATTTATTTATTTATTTAATCAGGACAGAGCACATTAATGAACAATCTTATACTTCTGAACAGATTGTAAATGAGCCAGATTATAGCATAGTTGCTAATTTACATCTGTGGTCCTGAGGCAGGAAGACAAAACAACACAAGATCACATGATACAATATCAGTCAAAACACCTAGACACACGTTCAGACAATGACATTACAACAAAAAAAAAATAGTGAGTACATGACTGGGAACTTTTAAGAAACTGTTTAAGGTGCTTTTTAAATGTGCAATAAGTGGGACCTTCCCTGATGTTTGCCGGGAGGCTGTTCCAGAAGTGACCCCTCTGACTGATAGAACGGTTTGTTCAAAGGTTGTTCTTCTGTGAGGGATCTCTAGGTCTCCGCTGGAAGAGGCTCTGGAGCATATACATCCGCTAGGTCTAATGTAGGCAGAAAGTGAAGGTGGGGCTAATCCATTCAGACCTTTGTAAATTAAACAACTATTTTTAAAATGCATAAAATTTTCAAAATTGAATGACAGGGGCTTTTGATCGAAGATTTTTAAAGATTTTTTTGAACAATATTTCTATTGGTTTTAAAGTTATATCTCCAGTGAGTGAGTAGGTTGTGATGCAGTAGTCTATGTGTGAAAATATCATCGAGTGTAGGAACATTTTAGCAGAACTGATTGTCATCGATGATCTGATTTGCTTAAAGTTACGTATATTAAATTTAATTGTGTTTGCAGTGATTTTGATGTGTTTTTTAAATGCAAGTGTTCAGTCCAGTGTGACCCCGAGGTACTTGAACTCTTCTACACGCTCAAGTTCCACTCCCCCCAGGAACACATTGGACCGCTCAAGTTTTATGGTTTTTTTTGTGAACATCTAGAAACAGTTTTCTTTTTGTTCAGTAACAGACATGATTGAAGGAACCTGGGCTGTATATTGTCCAGGGCTGATGTGAGGACAGATGATGCTTCCTGTGTGCTTTTAGCAGATGTTAAAATAACAGCATCATCAGCATATATTTGGAATTGGACATTTTGGCAAACTTCTGGAAGGTCATTTATATATAGGGAGAACAATACTGGTCCCGCAATAGAACCTTGTGGGACCCCTGCTGGACATTCAAGGTAGGACGACATAGTGCTATCAACAATAACAGATTGTTTTCTGTCGGATAAGTAAGATTTAAACCAAGCAATGGCATCATCTGCGAAGTGAGTCAGTTTGGACAGAAGTGCTTGATGGTCTACAGTATCAAACACCTTCTTGAAATCCAAAAAGACTGTACCAACACAGGTGGTTTGCATGTGTCAAGGCCATATGCATCTTTGGCCTTTGAGGGCTTCAGGGAGTTAATAATGTTGGCCACTTCTAGCTCAGAAGTTTGCTCTAATTTGAAAATTGGCTGTACAGGATCTATGCATTTGCGAGCTATCCCAGAATGACAAAACATTTTGGTTATTTCATTGACAGAGTTAATGAAGAGATTATTAAATTCATTTGCTAATTCTTTTGGATTATTTAGCAGCTCATTATTGACTTTTATTTCCAATTTTTCAATGTCTATTTTATTTTGTTTTCCAGTCAGTTTATTAATATTTTGCCATATGACTTTGCCATTTCCATTTGCACTTTTAATGATGTCCAGAAAAAAAATTGCCTTGGCTTTACAAAGGGCGTGAGTTGTTTTGTTTCTCATGGAGGTAAATCTTTGCCTGTAAATGGTGAGACCAGATTTTAAAAACACTTTGAGTGAAATGTCTCTGTCTTTCATAAGTTTTTTACATTCATTACTCAGCCAGGGTAGATGGTTTCCCTTTTTTTACTGTTTCTTTTTTTTGAGTTAAAAATCTGGGAGTTTGCTTCAATATTATTATTAGAACATAATGTAAAACAGTTTATTTCATTTAACAGAATGTCAGGGTTTTGATGTACATGTTTTGGGAATAAAATTATAATGATTATGCATTGTAGATGAAGTGAATCGTTTTTTACTTAATTTTTGGGAAAAAATTACAACATTGTGATCAAAAGCCCTGTGATGAGGTTGTATGTTTTAATGATCCTCTCAGTATGGTTTGTAAATAGCAAATCTATTAGAGTTTTGTAGTGGTTTGTTATTCTGGTAGGATTTTTAATTATGGTGTTAAATTAACATTGTCTTTTATTTGTTTAAGTGTTGTTCGTTCCTTCTTAACCATCCAATTAATGTTAAAATCACCCATTGAAATAATTTCTCCAGTTTTGTCACAATGTTTGAGGAGAAGTTTAAGTTGTTCATAAAAACAATTTTTTGCAGTGGGCTATCTATATATATGAGAGTGATATGTCAACACCTACACATTCTAAAGAAATATAACTTGTGCACTTTAGGGTATTTCGGACATATATTAAACTAAACTAACAGTTGAGCTGTTAAATGGAAGCATTGGTAGCGAGACATGACAAAATAGGTCTTAAGATTTAGAGTGGGTAAGACTTAAAAAAAACATAAATAACAAGATGAAATAAAATGAATTTCTTTTATACATTATCTTTTTATTAAGGTTGCTTTTGTATACAATTTTAATGATGAGTTTGTATAGGACAACATTGAATAATTTTGCAGTTGATTAGAAAGTGGAAATAAGAAATTCTAGGCTTTTTTTTCTACTGACAATCAACATTTATTCTATTCTATTCTATTTATTCTGAAATGACCAAGTGGAATGCAACATAGGCCGCCACCAGATGGCAGTAATATACTACATTATACATGTGAAGATTAAGATGACCCCCATTTTTCAGGTAGAATTGTGAATCTTCTGAATATGATCCAAATGAAGGTGTTATCACCGTTTTACTCATCAGATCATGCAGCCTAAATATAAAGGCTTTTCACCACTGTCACTGATGAGTAAAATGAAACCTTATTCCTATAAAGTCAGGAGAGAAATGTGAAAGTGAATGCAACTGCAGATATGACTGCAGCGTTTCTTTCATTTTTTTTGGAACAGGTGCTGCATGGAGATGAATGACAATTGGTCTATACGTGTGGAGAATTTTGTATGCACATGATTTTCACTGTGCACTATTCATACCCACAAATTCAAATTTATTATCACCTCCTTCTCATCAAACAATAATGAATGTTAAACCTCACAATATTTGAAAATAAATAATCATGTCGCTCAACCAGGCTCTGAACTCCACCCCTATACTCTGCATAAAATTTAAAATTCAAAATCAGTTTCGCATTTAGTTTACTTCTGGATGTACAGTTTGCATTTTGGGGATCTCAAAACCACACACACAAATATTTTTTTTAATATTTTTATGCTTCCCGCATAAAATGGGTTTCCCCTCTCCAAAAACCATCTCTATAGCCGCCCCCTCCACTGTCAGCTCCATTTGGAGCTGCGGAAGGGAGATTCCTCAGTCCTTCCAGTCATACACCCCCTCCTGCGTGATGGTACCGTTACGCACCACCATAATAAACGGAGACGTGACTCTCCGGGGCGAATCCCTGCCGACGTCACTATTTGTCCGTTATAAAAAGCCTGAGCAGCGCCTCTGATCAGACTCGAGCAAAAACGCCTTTTTGACTGCCACTTATTCATAAAGCAAGGATTACAGGATCACTTTCGTGGGATTTATTTATCAGAAAAGGGTAAGTTTATATAAAAAAAATATAAACTTTATATGCATCTCGGTTTAAAATGGCGTGTATATATATATATATATATATATTCATTACATACTTTACAACTTTATATGCATCTCGGTTTAAAATGGCGTGTATATATATATATATATATATATATATATATATATATATATATATATATATATATATATATATATATATATATATATATATATATATATATATATATATATATATACATATTCATTACATAATTAAATGCCTAATTGGTGAAACTATGTTTTTTTTTATCTATTGCTTTATGCTTTAATAATGTTATTAATGTTATTTAACAAAAAACTGTTGAAACCATATTTACGCATGGCAAATCTACCCACAGATCCCCTATATCACCACAATGACTTTGAACAAGAGTGACAAATTGCGGAACATGGACAAAAGGAGAGGAAGCGTTCCGTTCCCAATGAACCTCCCCAACCTGCACAGGAGAAGCATGCCGGTCGATGACCGGGACCTGCGCGCCACGACGCCTCAGATGGGACAAACCGACGAGCTTTCCAACCTTCTGCGCTGTACGTCCTACTCCCCCAGCGAGGAGCACCGGGGCAGCTGCGCCTCGGACTCCTCCGACTCAGTCATTTCCACCGGCAGTGAGACAGATTCCCAGGTGTACAAAGTGGTCCTCCTCGGGGAGCACGGGGTCGGAAAGTCCAGCCTGGCGCGCGTCTTTGGGGGGCTTGAGGACGCCGGTCACGACTGTGATGAAGCAGGTAAATGGTGATGCTGAGGATGAGTCATCAGCCTGCCTTCATATACATACATTCACTTAAGATCCTCGTTGATAAAGAGTAATATAGCCTATATATATCTCCGGCTGGAGAATAAAAACATCAATAAGTGTAATGCATAAACCGTTTCAAAGAGAAAATACTTTAAATACATACATTTGTAATGAATGTCATCATTAAAAATCCTGATAAAAAAAAATAAATATAAAAATTCACACACAGTTTAGAAATATTATTGTTGTCACTTGGCAAATATTAGCCTAAAATAGTTAAAGAAAAAAAAAACAGCTCACAGATTTCTTTACAGTTTCTCTGCTCTCATAATGTAACCCAATATTCCTTTTACCCCCAGGAAACACTTACGACAGATCTCTTATTGTGGATGACGAGGAGGCTTCAATTTTGCTCTATGACATCTGGGAGCAAGTGAGTAATGAATTATTAATGCATTGTTTCCCCCCCATTGATGCTCTATTTGTAAAGACTGAGTCTAATGTCATCTGTTTTATCATCTAAAGGATAACAGTCAGTGGCTAAAGGAGCAGTGCATGAGGATGGGAGACGCTTACATCATTGTGTACTCAGTGACTGACAAGTCAAGCTTTGAGAAGGCCTCAGAGCTTCGCATCCAGCTGCGTCGAGCCAGACAGTCAGAGAACATTCCCATAATCCTTGTTGGCAACAAAAGTGACCTGGTGCGATCCAGAGAGGTGTCAGTTGATGGTGAGTTAAGTGCAATTAATCAATAGGTTGAACATAAGGACCAGAGAAAAAAAATGTGGTTTGGAAAAGTACACCTCTAACTCCTTCTCTCTCCATGTTTTTTGGATTATAGAAGGAAGAGCCTGCGCCGTGGTGTTTGATTGCAAGTTCATTGAGACATCCGCATCCCTCCACCACAACGTGCACGCCCTGTTTGAGGGCATCGTCAGACAGATCCGTTTGAGAAAAGACAGCAAGGAGGAAAACGAGCGACGCATGGCTAACTGCAGGCGCAGAGAAAGCATCAGCAAAAAGGCCAAACGCTTTTTGGGTCGCATGGTCGCACGCAAGAACAAGAAGATGGCCTTCAGGCAGAAGTCCAAGTCATGTCATGACCTTACGGTTCTCTGAGCGACACACAGGACAGAAAGACTTTTTTTATTTTCTCTTTTTTTCCTTTGGCCTCTGAAGACCAGATCCTGTGTGTGTTTTAACACCAATCCTAAAGGACTAATAGAGAATATATTTTTGTTTAGTAACGCACAAACCAAAAGCTAAACAGGATGTAATAAAAAAAAAAAAGAATAGTATTGTAAAAGGATATGATACTGGTAATAACGTTAAAAAATGTGCATACCTTTTACTTTACAGCCTGCCTTAAACATTTTGCCATCATATAAGGATTCTTTTGTCAAAAAGATCTGATATGTTGATTCAAAAAAAGGTGCAAAGGTTGTCTTTTATTTGGGTTGTTGTGTTTTGTTGTAGGAGGGGATTGATGTATATACTATAAAGGCATAGTGTAAAACATGACAAACATCTCATCATTATCAAGGTTATGTGAGGTTCTATTATTTACTTGAATGACGGTGCGCAGGTTCGTGCCTTGCCCAAGTTACTGAAGACTACTCAAAGCTTCGGCAAAATCTCTTTTATTCTGTGTTGTTCCATGAGATTGAATTCAGGTTGTGAATGTATGGGTAAAGCAATAAGTTGGTTATGTGAGCCTTGACATTTCTCGTTTACAACGTGTTTCTTTTTTTTCTAAATAAAATTTTGATTAAAAATGTGTTTTCTCTACTCATTATTACCATGGTAACATAATATAACATAATACGCACCATCAGACCCAGAAGAAGTAGATGTTGTGTGGGTGAGTTATCTCCTCATGAATATTTATTTGATCCAATCAGTGGAATGGAACCACCAGGACTTTTTGCTTCAAAGGAAGGAAATAAGGTAGTTAAGTCTGTTTTTTTTTTTTCACAGTGTTAAACATTAACCCACCAAAAAGAGTACAAGTGTTCAAATGTTCCACTGAATTCAAAGTTCTCTCACATTTCCTAGAGGAAGGTCGTGCAAGCATCATTCGCAGAAGGTAAGATGGTCCTTAAAATGTTTGCATGTTACATAAATATTTTGTAACAAGTATAACTTTTTTTTTTCTTTATGTTATCATCTGTGATTTTTAGGTCTTTAAAATCAGTGTTAAATCTTTTACTGGCATTGCTTTAGTTTTTATTGTTCAAGTTGTACTTCCAAACTAACTCATATCTTTGTTGGTCTCTGTAAACTGTGGTGGTTGATGCTGTGTTGTTTTCTCTGGTGCATGGTTTTGAGAGAAATACCAGTAAGTAAGTAATAAATCAGCAATGAAGACAGTTTTTTGTTTTTTTTTTGTTGATCATTGGTAGGTTTAAAACACGGTGAATGCGGCACCTTTACAGGAACAGATGACTGACAGAGAGGCCAAACCCATGCTTCTTGCAGCACTTTTAGTAAGTTAATGTTTTGCCCTTGTTTTTTATATGCCTTTTTAGTTGGAGTGTTATTTTTTTTTTCTAGGAACAAAATATGTCAAAAACAACGGCAATTATTAGCTGACACCTATCCTTCTGTTTCATAGCTGTCAACGTTTTTCACATTTGCACCATGCTCAGGGGCAAATGTTAAAATTGGTGTTCCTGAAAACTACGATGGCATTTTCCCATGGTATCTAGCTAAGGTAAGGCCCTACAGTTTACCTGAAGTTAGAATTCTTCACTTTTCTTCTAAATCCGATCAAAAGGATCAGGCAATAAAAGCTGACGTTAACATTTTTCCCCTCAAAATCATCCCTTGTAAATGAAGATGAAATCCATATGAATTACATAAAAAAAGAACATGAATTATAATAAAAAAAAACTGCTTATGTTGCAAAATAAAACAAAAATGTAATGCAATCAATTTAATGACCGATTAAAGAAAGAACCCTATTGCCTAACAGAAAATGAGGGTAGATAGTAAGTCAAAACATCACCTGCCTCTTCTAATTTTTTAGCGCTTTTTTTCTGCACACAAGGTTGAAGATATACGAACATGCTGGCGTCATCGCTCTTCTATAATTGGCATGTTCACTGCGCTTTTCTGGCATCCGACCCAGCCTCTGCTTTTATTCCAGCAGGGTGGCAGGTGGGGTTTTTATTCATACGTGTCACTCAGACGTCCTCTGGATTGCACAGCATCATGAGTGTATGGCTCATTGACTGGCTTTACAGTGATTCAATTCAATTCAATTCAGTTTATTTATATAGCGCCAAATTCACAACACATGTCATCTCAAGGCACTTTACAGTTCAACCAGATCATACAGTCAAATTGATACAAAGTTTTCTATCTAAGGAAAACCAGTTGATTGCATTGACTCATTAACTCAAATACAATCCCCCACACTAAGCATGCTTGTAGCGACAGTGGAGAGGAAAAACTCCCTTTTAACAGGAAGAAACCTCCAGCAGAACCAGGCTCAGTGTGAGCGGCCATCTGCCGAGGCCGACTGGGGTTCAAGGAGACAGAAGCAGAGATACAAAAAGCAGCTGTAAAAGGCGGCCCCGTCCATGAAACACGCAGCCAGGCAGACGAGCTCCAAGGCAGCTCCCGTGCCAGAGGACGAAGAGAGCACATCCACTCAGTCACGGTCAGAGAAACAGGACCACACTGGAAAACAGGCTGATCTCCAACATCTATAAACAAGGGTGTTGATAGAAGCAGCACAGCTGATGTTTCTTTCCAGGATGACGTCACAGCCAAACAGGAACAGACGAGGCAAAGCTACTCTGAGGAAAAGCAGAGAAAGCAGAAGGTTAGAGATTGAACTAACAGATTCTGCAGAATAGGAGAACAGAGAGAGAATGAAGCAGAATGATGAAATGGGGGTCCCTATGTCCTCCAAAAGTCTAAGCCTATAGCAGCATAACTATAGAGATAGCTCAGGATAACCTGAGCCACTCTAACTATAAGCTTTATCAAAAAGGAAAGTTTTAAGCCTAGCCTTAAAAGTAGACAGGGACGGACTAAAACTGGTAGTTGGTTCCACAGGAGAGGAGCCTGATAACTAAAAGATCTGCCTCCCATTCTACTTTTAGAAATTCTAGGAACCATTAGTAAACCTGCAGATTGAGAGCGAAGTGCTCTGTTAGGAACATAAGGAACAATCAGATCTCTGATATAAGATGGAGCTTGGCCATTTAAGGCTTTATATGTGAGAAGGAGGATTTTAAATTCTATTCTTGATTTAACAGGAAGCCAATGAAGAGAAGCCAGGATAGGCGAGATATGATCTCTCTTTTTAATTTTCATTAGAACTCTGGCTGCAGCATTTTGGATCAGCTGAAGGCTTTTAACTACAGTTTGTGGACTTCCTGATAGTAAAGAATTACAATAGTCCAGCCTTGAAGTAACAAATGCATGGACTAGTTTCTCAGCATCACCCCTGGACAGGATATTTCTAATTTTTGTAATGTTCCTCAGATGAAAGAAGGACATTCTAGAAACCTCTTTGATATGGGATTTAAATGACAGGTCCTGATCAAAAATAACACCAAGATTTTTTACTTTATTATCTGAAATCAGTTTAATCCCATCCAAATGAAGTGACTGGCTAATCAGTTTCTTTTTCAGAGACTCTGGTCCAAAGACTATAACTTCTGTTTTGTCTGCATTCAGGAGCAGAAAGTTAAGAGTCATCCAGGTTTTTATGTCTTCAAGACATGCCTGTAATCTATGTAATGGGTTAGCTTCATCTGGATTTATAGACAGATATAGCTGGGTATCATCAGCGTAACAGTGGAAATTAATCCCATGCTGTCTAATAATTCTACCAATTGGGAGCATGTATAAAGTAAAGAGAATTGGTCCTAGCACTGATCCCTGTGGTACTCCACAGGTAACCTTTGAGCGTGTTGAAGATCTATCATTAACATGAACAAACTGAATTCGATCAGATAGATAAGATTTAAACCAGTCTAGTGCTGTTCCTTTAATTCCAACAAAATATTCAAGTCTTTCTAAAAGAATATTATGGTCAACTGTATCAAATGCAGCACTAAGATCCAACAGGACGAGCACAGATACAAGTCCATTATCTGAGGCCATGAGAATATCATTAGTGACTTTCACCAGAGCTGTTTCAGTGCTATGATGAGCTCTAAAGCCAGACTGAAACTCTTCAAAAAGTTCATTATGGTGGAAGTGATCGCAAACTTGTTTGGCAACTACTTTCTCAAGAATTTTGGATAAGAAAGGAAGATTGTATATAGGTCTATAATTGACCAAGTCATCTGGGTCAAGAGACGGTTTCTTAAGCAGAGGTTTAATTACAGCAACCTTAAAAGCTTTAGGTACATATCCCTGTAACAGAGATAGATTAATCACATCTAAAATGGAGGAGGAGATCAAAGGGAATACCTCCTTAAATAACCTGGTTGGAACTGGATCTAACATACAAGTTGAAGGCTTAGATGAAGACAATAATTTTGCTAATTCAGAGAGTTCAACTGGATCAAAGCAGTCTAAACCCGGTTCAGATTCCATGACTACCTCAGGTACAATCGCGGATAGAGGAGTGCTTATGATCTTATTTTTAATAAGATCAATCTTATTTATAAAGAATCCCATAAAATCATTGCTGCTAAGAGCAGGTGGAATGGACGGTTCAACAGAGCTATGGCTCTGGGTGAGTTTGGCAACTGTATTAAAAAGAAATCTAGGATTATTCTTATTCTCCTCTATTAATGAGGAGAAGTATGCTGCTCTTGCTTTACAAAGAGTCCTCTTATACAGCAGTAAACCATTTTTCCAGACTAGGAAGGACTCTCGCAGGCCTGTGGAGCGATATTTTCTCTCCAGTTTCCTAGCATTTTGCTTCAAAGTACGCAGCTCTGCATTAAACCAAGGAGCAAGCTTTCTATTTTTAACAGTTTTCATTTTCAAAGGAGCTGCGTTGTCTAAGGCAATACGCAGAGAACTAGCAACCCCATCAACAAAATCATCAACCTGTGAAGGGGAATAAGCTAAGCTTTTGCACTCTGCAGCACTGCTCAGTGACACAGAGGAGAGAGAAAGTGAAGCAGATTCTTTAAAATTTATAACTGCACTATCTGATAAAGATCTACTAAAATTGAACCTTCTTTTGGGGGAGGAGAACTCTGTTAAAGTAATTCTGAAGGTTATTGGAAAGTGGTCAGAGAGGACAGGGTTGTGAGGAAATACTGTTATTTCTTCACATTCTATGCCGTATGTCAGCACAAGATCCAAAGTATGAAGATGAATGAATGAAGATGAATGCGTGGGACTATTCACATTTTGAACAAAGCCAATAGTGTCTAAGATAGCATTAAAGGCTGCTCTTAAGCTATCGCCTTCAATGTCAGCATGGATGTTAAAATCTCCCACTATAATGACCCTGTCAGTATTTAATACCAAATCAGAAAGGAACTCTGAAAACTCATCTAAAAATTCAGAGTAAGGACCTGGTGGACGATACAAAGTTACAA